GTGCACGGGAGGACTCGCCTCCACCACCACCAGCACTCCCGTCACCTCGACGCAGGATCAATATGATCATGGGCGGCCTCCTTACATGCAACGACTCGATCAACTCGATCAAAAAGACATGAATACCGTACCACGAACGCCAAGAAAGAGACGCCGGTCTATGACGACACCCTGCCCATCACCTTCACGGAAGCAGACGCTGAAGGTCTTGACCGCCCGCACAACGACCCGCTCGTTATCTCCCTCCGTATCGGATCAGACGATGTCTCGAAGATCTTGGTCGATACAGGCAGCTCCGTCGATCTCATATTCAAGACCACACTAATTCAGATGGGGATCAAAGACAGCGAGATCAAGATCGCCCCGAAAGCACTCACGGGCTTCGCTAGGGCCTCCACCTCGACTATCGGCACAATCAAACTGCACATCACGACCGAAGGAGGCATCGTCACCATGATAAAATTCGATGTCATCGACAGACCGGCCATTTACAATGTCATCCTCGGGACACCTTGGATCAGTACTATGCGAGCTGTTACTTCACCATATTATTAATGTCTGAAGTACCCGGGCAGAAAGAGAATCATCACGATCAGAGGCGACCAGCGCGAGTCCCGGTCTTGCTACATCGCCGAGCATCGATTCTGGCACTCGTCTACATTCATTATCGATAATCTAGATCCCCGAGTCATGCACCACGAGAAGCCAAAGAACGACCTAGTCGTACAAGTGTGCATCAACATTGAGCACCCCGAACGATGCATCGGAATTGGTATCGAGCTTCTACCCAGCATGCGCGACGACCTCATAGCCTTTCTCCGTGAGAACGTCAATACGTTCGCATGGTTCATGGCGGATATGAAGGGGATCAGTCCGACTATCACCAGCCAAGAGCTGAACGTAGACATTACGTTCAAACCCATCAAACAGAAGAGGCGCAAGCTCGGTCCCGAGAGAGCTCAGGCCGTCCAGGATGAAGACGAGAAGCTCCTTGCCGCCGGATCAATTCAAGAAGATCCTTCATGGATGCATTCTCGGGGTACAATATGATCATGATGCACCCCTCAGACCGGGAAAAGACCTAGTTCATCACAAACAGAAGAACGTACTGTTACAAGGTGATGCCATTCGGACTCAAAAATGCCGGCGCTACTTACCAGAGACTGGTCAACAAGATGTTCACCGACCAGCTCGGGCAGACAATGGAGGTCTACATCGATGACATGCTTGTCAAGTCACTAAAGGCTGACCATCACATCACCCACCTACGCGAATACTTCCAAATCCTCAACACCTATGGGATGAAGCTAAACCCCGCGAAGTGCACCTTTGCAGTCACATCCGGCGAGTTCCTCGGATATCTGGTCACTCAACGCGACATAGAAGCAAACCCGAAGCAAATCTCAGCCATCCTCGAGCTACCCTCACCATGCAACACACGTGAAGTCCAACGGCTGACCGGACGGAATACCGCCCTCAATCGTTTTATCTCCCGTTCCACGGACAAATGCCTCCCGTTCTACCAACTTCTTCGCAGCAACAAACGCTTCCTCAGGGACGACAAGTGCGAAGAAGCCTTCCAACAACTGAAGCTTTACCTCTCGACGCCCCCCATGCTCGCAAAACCCGAAGACGGCAAAACGCTTTACCTTTACGTGGCATTATCAAGCTCGGCCATTAGTGGTGTTCTCGTCCGAGAAGACCATGGTGAACAGAAGCCGGTCTTCTACATTAGTAAGAGCTTAGACGGCGCAGAACTTCGATACCCGACCTTAGAGAAGCTTGCACTCGCAAAAGTCGTATCATCCTGGAAGATGCGCCCGTACTTCCAGTTTCATACGATAGCTATCATTACGAGTCAGCCTCTTCGGACGATCTTTCACAGCCCGACCCAATCCGGTCGGATGGCCAAGTGGGCAATCGAGCTTTCTAAATTCGATATCGACTACCGCACCCGTACCTGCGCCAAATCCCAGGTCTTGGCTGACTTCTTGGTCGAACTGCCACCCGAGCTTTGCAGCGACGACCTTACTACGGGTTAACACTAGAATCTTCACGTGGATGGCTTATCCAATCGACACGGCTCGGGAGTCGGGATACAGCTCGAAGCTCCGACTGCTGAAGTCCTTGAGCAGTCATTCCGGTTAGAGTTTCCGGCCTCCAACAACGAAGCCGAGTACGAAGCCCTCATCGCTGGACTACGACTCGCTCGCTGCATGAACATCTAAAACATCCGAGCATTTTGCGACTCCCAACTCGTGGCAAACCAGTTTAACGGAGACTACGACGCCAAAGATGAACGGATGGACAAGTACCTCAAACTTGTCCAGCGCCTGGCAAAGGAATTCAAAACCTTCGAACTGTCCAAGATACACTGAGCAGAAAATCCCGAAGCAGACGCCTTGGCTGCCTTGGCTTCAAATAAAGACACCGACCTCCGCCTGTTGATCCTGATCCAAAACATCGATGCCCCGAGTATCGATCCGGATCGTGGTGTTTGCTCCGTTACCTATCAAGAGGACGAAATCGACGCCCCGCTCAAGAAACCAACAGAACAAGAGCCAGAAGACTGGCGTGACGAAATTCATAATTACTTAGCCGATGGCGTGGAATCTAAGGACCGTTGGGCAGCCCGCCGCCTTCGAGTCCGCAGCGCTCATCATTCACTTCACAAGGAACATCTCATGCGATGGACTGCCGCGGGCGTTGTATTACATTGCATTGCTGGCGACGAGATCCGCCGCGTCATTAAAGAAACTCACGTCGGAGCCGGAGGCAACCACTCCGGAGGCCGGGCCCTCGTCATGAAAATCAAGAAATCAGGCTACTTCTGACCAACGATGATGGCAGATTGTGAAGACTACGCGAAGAAATGCGAGTATTGTCAAAGGCACGCCCCGATAATCAACCAGCCAACCGAGCTACTTACATCGGCCGTCCCGCCCTACCGTTTCATGCGATGGGCTATGGACATCGTCGGACCGTTTCCCTCCTTGCGTCAAAGGAAATATATGCTCATCATGACAGATTACTTCACAAAGTGGGTGGAGGCCAAGGCATTCATTCGAATTCAAGACAAGGAGGTTCATAATTTCGTCTGGAAGTACATCATCTGCCGCCACGGGCTACCGTACGAAATCGTCACGGACAACGGCTCCTAATTCATCTCCAAGAAGTTCGACGGCTTCCGTGAGTTATGGAAGATACGGCTAAGCAAATCCACCCCGCGCTATCCTCAAGGAAACGGTCAAGCAGAAGCAACCAACAAAACCATCCTCGACGGAATCAAGAAACGACTCGACGCTAAGAAAGGACTTTGGACCGATGAGCTCGATGGTGTACTTTGGTCCCATCGTACAACACCCCGCACTGCCACCGGCAAGATCTCGTTCTGCTTAGCCTACGGATGCGAAGCGATGGTCGCCGCAGAAGCAAACGTCCCGAGCCTTCGACACACCCTTGCTCCCGAACATCCCCGACTCAACGAGGCGATGCTGATCGACAATTTGGACGATTGGAAGAAAAGCGCGATGAAGGCTGCCCGTTACTACAACAAGAAGGTCAGAAACCGTCACTTCGAAGAAGGAGACCTTGTCCTCCGGAAGGTCTACGAGAATACGAAGGAATGGCGAGCTGGCAAGCTCGGAGCTAATTGGGAAGGCCCTTACATCATCATACGAGTCATCAAACCAGGAGTTTACCATCTGGAAACAATGGCTGGTGACAAAGTTCCTCGTTCCTGGAACTCGATGAGTCTGAAGCGTTACTACAGCTAGAACGCCTACAGGCTACGCAACAAAAAAAACAAAAAAAAAAGGGAGCTCTTACCGAGCTAGTTTCCCCTTATGTAATATGAACTACGAATGGCTTGATCCCATTTTGGGTACGTAGGCAGCCTGCAAAGGTCCAGCTATAACTTAATAAAAATTTCATATTTTACTTAACTTCTTGTGTTCCCGAGCTCCGTTCTTCACTACTATACAATCGCTTCTGAGCTTTACTATACCTCGGTGTCCTGGCCAGATATTCGATAACGCCTATAGTTAAGTCTGATCAACTTAACTCGGCAATAACCAAAGCCAAGTCTAGTCTTGCGCGCTTTCCTCTTTGAACAATATGGTGGAAACCACCTAAAAGATCGAAGGGAAAAGTGTGTTCCACTTAACCCGAGAATCTTTAAAGCCGATCCCAGACTCGCACTTTCTAGGTCGTGTATGGAGTAAGTCGGGCCGAGACTCGCACCTGCATTCGAACCTAGAAAACTCTAAGTCGTATTAACAGGATACGCCGACCTGTTTGCATGTTAATACTCGAACTTATGAATATAGTCGTATGATGCAATGTAAGCCGATTTTCATTCGCACGCTCATATTCAAACTAAGTTAAAAGCCGGGACCAACCCTGCACCACTATCACACGCATAGTTATAAAACTCGGCACGGGAAAATTCCATTCATGAATAAAATCTAGTACAAATGCACGATATTAAAACCCCTAGCAAGGGTACATTATATTAAAAAAATATCCTAAGATAAATCCCGAAGCACGGATACAAAAAAAGAAGGGGACAACCAACTATGGAAAGATATATTCAAATCGCGGAAGAAAAAGAAAGAAGACTCCAAGAAGAAAGGAAATTATCATAATCCCGAAGAAGAGGGATTATTTTCAAGGCGGTTTACGAAGGCTATATAAGAAGAGCCCCATTCCTCGAAGATGGATGATTTACAACTTCAGACTCGAGACCTAAGGCAAATAATAGCTTACTGCTTCCAGTTCTACATCTCGGTTCTTTACTCTTAAAACTTAGATCGACGTTCTTTTCCGACGACCTAAATCTCTTATACTCTTCGAGCTCCGGCTAAATTCAATAAAACTATATCTTTTACCCCCGCAATCTTTATATTTTCTCTTAGGGAGATATCTAAATCTTACATAATTCAATGACTGTCTTAATTTTGTTTGGTAGGTTATTTTGTCATCAACATCGCGCCACAGAAGATAGTCAAACTCTCAAAGAGAGATATAAGTTCGGGCCACAATAGATAGTCAAACTCTCAAAGAGAGATATAAGTTCATATGTAAACGTTACTGTTTTTTATTCAAAGAAATATAATTTGAAAGACACACTAATAACACAAAAGCCCATATAAAGAGAACCCAAGCTGATACATTATTTAAACACAATCACTAAACTGTGTGCTCAATCAGCATAATAAAAGTTTAACTAGCTATATTATGAAAACCATCTCATTTGGGGCAAACAGGCTCGAATGCGAATGGACCAACGGTGAAAAGACCGTACGTGAGCTTGTTGAAGATGATGGTGGAATTTTCCGGTTTCACGACCGGCTTTAGAACGGAGCCCATGTATCCACCGTGGAGCTTCGACACTTTGCTGCATTTGGCGTCCGGTGACTTCACGAGGTAAGCTCGGCAGTTTTTGATGGCGTAGTTGGTCACCGTCTTGGGGGCGTAGAGCAAGAAGTATCCGTTCTTGTCTGTCTTTGTCTCCGATATCGAGTTCTTCTTGTTCTTGCACAAAAGTCTCACCACCGCATCTGCATCCCCAAAATAACACAAGCAAATTAAAAGTAGAACTAATTAGTATTTGTAAATATTTGTTATTAGGAAAAAGAATTGAAATAGCTCGTGTTAACCAAAAACCTATTAAACATACCAATTAATTCAGAGTATTTGTTTAGATTAGTTATCGGTAAATTTGCCTTTATTGATTTTAAGAAATCTGGTGACGTAACATGACTTGAACAAGTTTTTTTACCACTTGCGCTAGAGTCGATATCAATAAAATGGAATATATAGGGGAAAATTACAAGGGTTCGTTCGTTGCAGTAGACTGTTTAGCCGGAAACCTATTATTAATAACAAACACATTTTTAACTAATTTTTTTAATGGTAATTTTATGTTTACTCATGCATGACTGATACCACTCTTCTGACTGGCTGAGCTAATCTCGCGTTGTAATATATAGAGTTAACATTTTGAACTAAACGTCTTGAACATTATTTGCCAGTGAGATTATGATATATATATGCCTCTACAAGTTTTAGATGTATACCACAGCTTAGAAAACTAAGGATACTTTAATAAAATACGGACAGTTCATTATATCATTAGTGTATGTATAATACCTTTAACGGGTTTGGCGCCTTCGAGGTTGTTTACGCCGGCGTACTTGCAGGCTTTGCAGTAGACCACTCCCCGCACGGCCACTAGAGTCCTGATGAACTTAGGAGGGTAAACCGGTGGGAAAACCGGAGGCTTGATCGGGGCTTTAGCCGGTGGGAGAGTTGGTAACTTGATCGGAGCTTTAGCCGGTGGGAGAGTTGGTAGCTTAATCGGAGCTTTGGCCGGTGGAAGAGTCGGTAGTTTGATCGGAGATTTGGCCGGTGGGAGAGTTGGTAGTTTGATCGGAGCTTTGGCCGGTGCGAGTGATGGTAGTTTGATCGGAGGAAGAGCTGTAGTGAAAACAGAGGAAGTGAAGCAGCAAAGTGATAAGAGAGTTAACAAAACACTCTTACCAATGAAACCCATCCTTATTCTATTTTTTTTTGTTTGTGTGTGAGTTTGGATTAATGTGATATAAGGGGTATTTATAGGAGATTTCAGGCTTCAAGTCATAGTTGTATATGCGTATATATGCGTATATAGATACCACAGCAGCACATGCACGTCTTGCGAGCTAATCGAGAAGTTTCCGACGTTTCGTTAAAGATTTAGATTTAGATCTCCTAACTGGTTTCGATACTTTAAGTAAGATATATCTCCGAAGTCTCATCTAGAGATTTGTAATTAAAACTCTCGAGTTTTGTATCCTTATTACGAGGCCACAATATTGGTGATCATTATAACCTAATGGTGAATAAAAGTTTTCGTAGCAATTTTTCGATTTTCTTATAGTGATCCGGGTAAACAAATATTTTGGTATTTCGTGATCCTAAACTTACGTCCTGGTGAATCATTAAGTATATGCAACACATGTTATTGATTTGAGAGTTTCAGGGGATCGGAGTTTTCTCGGAATTTGTATTCATTAGTATTTTTTTTTCTTCTTATAATGCTACTATCTTATATAGTCTGTAAATTTTACGAGAGTTGAGAAAAAACACACATTGGATCTAGTTGAAAATTTTATCGGACTAACATGTACTCCTTCTGTTTTTTATTAGAAGATGTTTTAGAGTTTTTTTTTTTCAAAATATATGATGTTCTCAAATTTTTATGTAAAAATTAATTGTACTTTTGTTGTTTTGGTTATTTGAATTCTAAAATCCTATTTTTCTATTAGAAATTGATAAAATAATATATTTTATTTTGAAAAAATAAAAAATTAAATGATTTTTTTATCTGTGTGCAGATTTCTAAAACAGCTTGTAATAGAAATGGAGAAAATATTAATTTTTTAATGTAAAATTATGCAGGAACTTAAATAAACTTCTTGATTGACTAAAATAGTGTTACTTTCAAGTTTCAATGCAAATATCTGGGATATAATAGTATTAATGCATGAGTTTTCAATCACGTTCCATGTTTTATGTTGGCAACAAGATGCGCCTGGTGCGGCTTCAACACAGTACACATTTAAAGTTCAGGATTAATATCTACGCTTCTTTTGTTTATTTGGTTTTTCAATTTCCAGTACATGCAATCCATTATAGTTTAATAACCAAGACGGTGCTTCTATAATTATTCTTAGATCAGGAAATTTTTTTTAAAAAAAATGAAGTTAATGATTTTTTTTTTATGAAATTGGCAAAACGATGCTTATGTGTAATTCGCTCCTAAATCAGGAAAATGTTAAAAATTAATGTTAATGGGGTGCGGACAGTGTCTTGGTCTAATGTATTACCAAAATATTATTACTTCCACGTCATATTTATTAAAAAAAATTTTGATAAAATATTTATTAAATTCATCAATTCTGAAACTATACGATTCCATGCAGATTATAAGTGCAATTTGAGGTTCATAGAAATGAAGTATAAAGAATTTCAAACTTTGCACTAACTCCCTATATATTACCCGTCTCCATACCACACGACTAAACCAAAATGAAGGTTCAAAATAAAATCATCTTATTTTAACCCATGAAGTAAAAAACCTTCTAGTTCTTGAATCCAGTTTTAACGTTATTTTAGGATCCACATTGACGTTTCTTAGTTTATAAAATATATTATCATTTATCAAAATTACTGTAATAAATAACTTGGTCTCAAAATGCTGAAACGTGATGTATAAGTGTGTGTTGGTCTAATTAGTCCACTGATTTCGAATTCCTACACCTGATCATATTAAACATATTTGTATTTGAGTTGAAGGAAGTTTTTAAACGCTATTTTTAATCGATGACATATCTCATATTTCGATATGTGTGGTTCTCCAAAAAATAAGAATATATGTGTAATCCTTTATCCTTTCTAGTGGGTGGTTATGTCTTTTGTAAATAATTGATGTAACAAACTAAAAATGTTGTTACCCATAATTTGAAAAATTAGATGCATGAAAAAAATATTCCTTTTTTTAATCAAAAATATATATATATATATATATATATAAATGTAATTTTTGGTAGCCTTAATTTGAAGAAAAAAAAAAAGAAAATACTGAGAGTACGGTGATCACCTACACGGGATCCTCTGTAACGCGGTTATAACAACTTTTTATATAACCGCGAAGGGAAGCACCAACGAAACTGAAATTCGAAATTCAAAATCAGATTCAAATTTCATCAGAGAACAAACGAAACTGAAATTCGAAATTCAAAATCAGATTCAAATTTCATCAGAGAACAAATATCGCTCGCTCTATAGCTTTCATCTCTCTCACACTCTCCTCTTCCATCTACAATGTCGTCTACGAGAAAGAGCACCAAGAGAGCACGGCCAGAGCCGAAATCGCTCAAGAAGCAAACACCAAACGCAAAACTCCCGGACGATATGGATCTCGAAGTTTCTAGGTGTGTCTTCTTCTTCTTCTTCGTTTCTTCTGCTTTTTTGGCTAAATTGTGACTCGCGATTGATTTCCGTGTGGATCGTGCAGCGATCTCAAAGGATTCATGTCGGCGTTGCAGCAAATCAGAGAGAAAGCGCAAGAGGATGGCCGGAAGAAGAAGGAAGAAAGCATCTCCAGGTGATTACCCTCTTTCACTACTTTTTTCTCTCAGGTTACGGAGTATTTAGAAAATTCAGGTTCGATATCTCTGTAACCTTCGATTCATCTATTATGCGATTTTCCTCCAATTTCTGTCATCGAGAGAGCCATGTCGATATCCTCAGTTCTCTATCTCTTACCGATCATATGCATCTTAATAATTATTGGAGCATATTGTGTTTTCACGATTGTTTCTTCTACATTTTATCGTTATCGCAAACAAATTTTATCAACTAGATATAGCCAGATGATCCATAGGTGTTCGTTCATTTGTTCTACAACTTGATATCGGTTGATCTGTTGTGCAAGTGTGGTTGTGGTATGATCGTGTATCCTTTAAACTTGAAAGCAAATGTTTAGTTGATAGATATCAAGCTCGTTTGATTTCACAGATAGTGAACGTTTCGTTATTCTGACTTCTGTTCTTCAACTCTGAACGATTTGGTTGATTTTTATCATTAGTTTGGTACATAGTAGTAAGATTTGTCAACTGTTGTTCCACAAAGACAAAATCATCTAAGGATTGTGAGAATTCTTGGTTTTGATCGGCAGAATCAGTTTTCTCCACAAGACGATGCAATAAACTCCATGGTTTTGATGCTCGCTAAGTCTCGTTAGTTTAATAGCTGAGTTTTGCTCTAATTTGTGTGCATCTTTCTGTGCAGTGTGTCCACTGAGGTAAAGTCTAAGATTGACGAGTTGAAGACTAAACTTGAGAAGGAAAGGTAAGGCTATGTTGCTGATTATATATGTCTGATCTTCCATGCTTTGTGAATTCTGGCTTACAAGATAAGATATAAATGGAAATCGTGCTGATAAATTCTGTCCTTGGCTTACAATCTGCAGACAGAACTTTGCCAAAGCACTTTCAAAGAGTTCGAAGGAGGTTTGAACAAAGATCCCAGAGATGATATCTAACTTTCGAGTCATGAGAAAGCTTACAAAGAGCTGACCTGATCCATATTTGCAGTGTCAGAGTATCTTGAAGGACGAAGCTGCCAAGTTTGAGGAACTTCATAACAAATTCATGAAAGACAAAGCGGATCATCTACAGGGCTTGAAAGGTATTCTTTATTTTGCCCTCTAGTATTGTATTGGTGTCGAAAGTGTATATCGCAAGGTCTTTTAAAATAGCTAAGTGGGATACTCATAATACTGAAACATGTGTTTCTGCTTGGCAGACACTATTTCCAAGTTTGAGGAAGACAAGGAGAGGCTGTACATGCGATATGAGCAACTAAGTAAGCCAACTCATTATAATGAGACCACTATTATAGTTAAAATGGCATCACTTGCTCACTTCCACCTGTTAAATAACACATATAGGGAAGAAGGAGAAGACAATGATATCGGACCAGGAGAAGTTCTGCTCAGAAAAGCTTGCTCAATTGGAAGAGTCCCTGAAGAAAAAGAAACGGGTAAATGAATAGATTACATACAGTTGTTATCTCTAACACATACTCTCTCTCTCTTTTATCTTGTTATATGACTGAACCGCGAATTCTTGGGTGGTAGAATGACAAAACTTTCAGCATACTAAGGAAAACTCTCGGCACATTTCTGGAGAACGAAGGATCTGATGAGGAATTTCCACCTGATGAGTGAAAGATTAACGTCTCTCTTACCTGACGCTAAATAAAGAAAGGTAACAGATCCTTGTTGCTTTGATCAGCCAGACGTCTCTTTTAAAGATTATATCGTACCAAATATAGCAGAAAACTCTCTTTTCTGAAGTAGTAGTAGTATTTCAAGACTTTTGAATATTATGGACATACTGTCTTCTATTCTATGTTATAGTTTTCAAATGAAAGATTAATTACACTTTAGTAACATCTATCTGCCTTTTACAATGTTAGGTTTGAGTTGAGCCATAAAAATTAGTACACGTGTTGGTGAAATTTATAGCAACCATTTACTGATATCAGACCATTACTCCTAAAATAGTACCATTGTCGTGAATATTAAAGCTTCTCAACCACTAGCATTTACTGGCCAAACTTCTTCACATTTTTGTTTTTGGTTTTGAACTTCTCCTCACTCATCAAACGCTAGCCATTTTCCACAATATGGATATGGCTAAGATATGGCGGATCTTTAAGCCAAGTCATGGATTTTCTAAACCACAGAAACTGCCTATTCACCGTCATTTCTTACAAACTTCAGTGTTTCCATTTGATTGCTCTGGTTGCTCTGAGACTAAGAAGGACGCACAAGGGTACTATTGCCCTCAGTGCAAGTTCTATTTCCACAAGGAATGCGCCGAGTCGCCCTCAGAGGTCAGCCACCCTTCTCATCCCGCGCACACTCTCAAGCTCCGTAGGTGCGGACCACCTGGTTATAGTGATGGAAGCTGTCGCTTGTGTGGAGAAACCCTTGGGCTTTTGGTTTATCATTGTTCCATTTGTAACTTTAGTTTGGACACGGCCTGCGCGAGGAAGCACGAGATTCCAAGCATTGACTACCCGAACGCCCATGAGCATAGGCTTCACATCTTGGCCAAACGTGTCTCATTTCCTTGTCCTTGTGGTAAAGACGTCCGTGGAGCTCCTTACTTGTGTCATCAATGCAACTTCATGATCCACAGAGACTGCGTTTTCTTACCGCGTGTGATACACCTCACACGCCACAAGCACCGGATCTATCGGAGTTACTTCATTGGCCCTGGGAGTTTCGCTTGTGGAGTTTGTCGCCTTGAACTAGATTGGAGGTATGGAGGATACCGCTGCTCAACTTGCCCTGACTATGCCGTCCATCTGAGATGTGCAACAAGAGATGATGTGTGGGATGGACTAGAACTTGAGGGGAAACCCGAAGAAGAAGAAGATATTGAAGAGCCATTCCAAGTAGTAAACGACAAAGTTATTATGCATTTCAGTCATGGCGATTATCTCAAACTCAACGAAGGTGGTGTTGTTTGTCATGAAACCATCTGCTGCGCTGCTTGCGCTCTACCGGTCTACTTGGATGCATTTTACAAATGTTGGACTTGTGATTTTGTTCTTCACGAGACCTGCGCTAATCTTCCACGCAAGTTAAGACATGAGCTACACAAGCATACGCTTACTCTACGACCAAACACTAGCCCACATGATGAGAATGGTTATAACTTTTTTAACTGTACCGTGTGTAAGCGGCTCTGCAGTGGTTTCAAGTACGTATGTGGGTGTTGCAATGTCCAGATAGATGTACGGTGTTGTTCAATTCCGGAGCTGTTTATCCATGAAAGTCATCGACACCCTTTGTTCCTTACTTCCTCGGAAGCCAAGGTATGTGGTGCTTGTCACGAGAGTGCATCAACAGTGTTGAATTGCGTTGTTTGTGACTTTGCTTTGGGCTTCGACTGCGCCACTTTGCCTAACAAGGTAAAGCACAAATGCGACACACATTTTCTCTCTGTCTGCTTTGGAGAAAAGGCGAGTGGGCAATACTGGTGCGAGGTTTGCGAGACAAAAGTCAATCCGAATACAAGATTCTATACATGTGAAGATTGTAGCTCCACTCTTCATATTAACTGCGTGATTGGGGAGTTCACATTCTGGAGACCAGGGTTTATGTCCATATCACATTACGAGATAGCAGTTGTACCCAATGTTTTTGCATCTCGACCACTTTGTCATATGTGCTCTTGCCGTTGCGAAGACACTTCAGGTGTCATATACATCCCAACACGTGTCTTTTACATCTCAGATAAGTATCTCTGTTCCTCTAAATGTTTAGAAAACTATTTCAGATTCAGCATTACACTTTCCAAGTCGCCGAATCCGGAGATGCCACTTTTGGGGGATCTTTTTCGACTTGAACCATATTAGCCATTCTGTAATAACATCATTTCTCAACTCTCTTCTGTGTGTGTTCTTCTGAGTGAACTTTTTTTTTTGTGGAAGGACGAGAAAGGATTTGCTATTTCAATTTGTTCTCATGAATTACAAGCACGCCTCTTTGATTTTACAAGAATCTCTCCTTTTTTCGACATTAGAAAGAAAAAGAAGGTGATAATGTTAAAAAAGAGGGAAGAAGATGAGTTTCATTCCATTCACTTCCAGAGTTCTTCCATGGGGATTCCACGCTCAAGAGCAACATCACGGAACTGTCTCATCTGTTGCACTGCTGCAAGAGTTGCTCTCGCGTTGTTGAGCGCATTGTTGCTTCCCAGCTGTTTCCCCAACGCGTTCTCAACTCCGGCCATCTCCAGCACGATCCTAACCGCTCCTCCAGCAATCACACCGGTACCTGGTGAAGCCGGTCTTAGCATCACCTTCGCTGCTCCGTAATCTCCCTCTGATCTATAAACGAGAAAACCCACAATAGCTTAAAACCAAAACAAACCCTCTAAAACATAACCACACACACACAGAAACCTTCCTCAATTACTTCCAAAGCTTTATGAGTAACATCAATGCTTAAACCAAACAAGCAATCACATCCTACACAACCATGGCTAAGAAGACCAAATCCCAAAACCTTAACTTCATTTGGCTGATTCTTCTAAAGCATCAAAATCGAAACTTTACCTGTGGGGGAAAGTGAGATACTTAGTCATAGGGACTTGAACAATGTTTCTCCTAGCATCAATGGCGGATTTCTGAACCGCAGCTACAACTTCCTTAGCCTTAGCGCAACCAACTCCAACATTCCCTTGCTTGTCACCGACAACAACAATGGCTCTGAATTTCAATTGCTTGCCTCCTTTAACAACCTTCGTCACTCTCCTAACTTGCACAACTCTCTCCTCGAACCCATCACGGATCTTATCCTTCTTCGGCTTCGAACCACCGATACCTCCTCCAGTCTTCTTAAGCTTCGAGTCCATCACATTGACGTCCTTCCCGAGCATGCTCTCCCCGCTATACGCCGGACCGTACAGCTCCTCGTAAGCCGTCGCGATCTCCGCCTCCGTCTCGTCCGTGCCTTCGTCGAAATAAGGCGGCGCGACGAAACCCTCTGGAGCAGACGGCGGGTCGAAGACGGCGTTGGCGGTTATCTCCGGGTTCTCATCCTCGAAGAAGATTGTCTCGATTTGGTCAGACGAGGAGGCCTTGACGAGAGTGAGAGTCGAGGAGCGCTTGAGGAAGGAGAAGGACACAATGGGTTTCGAGGAGATGATGCGAGAGGCTCTGTTGTGTAGGGAGAGAGAAGAAAGAGAAGAGAGAGCTGATGCTGTTGCTGTTGCCATGGGAATGGAGATTTTCTTCGGATGAGGAGGAAGTGAGAAACGGAGAAAGAGGCTTATCCAGCAGCAAGCAGATTGATGAAAAATGTGAGGGGGTTTAAATGTTAGAATTACTTCTTCTGCGTTTTTTTACAAATTGGCCACAAACTTATTAACATATTAATGTTTAACCCCTCGTAACTTAGCGTATTACTCGTACACACACTTTTTGTTCGAAATGGTCAGGCACATAAAGGAGAAAGGCCTTCGTGAGGAGAACACTTATTATTATGGCCCATTAAAGTTTCTGCAACACTCAATTGGATCTGTAAAGATAGATGTTGCATTTTATTCTTCCGAAAACTCTAACCCTTCACATTTTATTCTTCCGAAAACTCCTTAAAAGTGCCTTATTAGCGTTGGTTTTGAAGGATTGTTTTGCAAATTAAAAGGTGACCAAAAAAGTAAATAAATGAGTGTAGTACAAAAGGGCCCCACACAAAATTGAAAATTAACGTTGCTCGTCGTTGCTGTAACGTGTAAGAGCGGAACAATGAGGAATGCTATTCCATTCCAATAATGAAATTGCGGCATTAACTGCATATTGACTTTTCATCTCTTGGAAGAAAACACAAGGTTCCAACATCTTTCATGATTAGGCCCAACGATTTTGTTGTCCACAAAATTTCGCGTGGAAAATTTGGCACCGAAGCTTTCTTTCTTGCGTATGAAGTCAATGGAGTCAACGTTCTCTGTTAGTATATACACGGAGCCTCTTTGTTAATTTCTTCATCCTCTCTTACGAAGCTCGGATATCCTGATCCTCTCTCCATCATACTAATGGATTCTTCTCTTTCCTTTACCAACTTTGTTACTGCTCCTGCAATAACCTTCTTCACGCTTTTGGGTTCAATAATTTTCTTGTTTTTTAACAAAAAACTCAGATCCCATCAAGAAAACGGAACAGTGGCTTCTTCTTTATCTCTTTTGTCTCATCCGTCTTCTTTGCCTCTCAAAGGGAAACACCATCTCTTCGTGAGCTTCCATGGGGCAGATGTCCGCGTGATCCTTCTCAGTCACATTATCGAGTTGTTCAGAAGCAAAGGAATCAGCCCTTTCATTGACAATGATATGGACAGGGGTGTGTCGATCGGCCCTGAGCTCATAGGAGCTATTAGAGAATCAAGGGTTGCGCTTGTCTTGCTCTCGGAGAAATACGCTTCTTCGACATGGTGCTTGAACGAGCTAGTGGAGATCATCAAGTGCAGAGACGAGGAGGGTCAAACAGTGATGGCCCTTTTCTATAAAGTGGATCCGTCTGATGTAAAGAAGCAGACTGGTGATTTTGGGAAGGTCTTTAGAGAAACTTGTAAAGGTAAAACAAAGGAGGACATCGGAAGATGGGAACATGCTTTGAAGGAAGTGGCCCAAATCGCAGGCTACCATTCAGGAAACTGGTTCGTACTTTTTGATTCTCAACCTAGTTCTCATACTTGTATGAATACTATTCGTAGATCAAAGAAAGAATACAAAACTTATTCGATCTATATACTTTTAACATACACATTTTTTTTAAAATATGAATTTTCAGGATAGCAGTTCTTATTTTAAAACCTACAAAATATATAGAGGTTGATGTGTAAAAAAAGAATTAGATACATGAGAATATCTCAATACTATGTGCAATTTTTCATGAGTATTTAACGGAATTTGTACTATTTGATTTACAACCTCTATATATTTGTACCTTTTCAATAAGAATTGACATCCTGAAAATCGATATTTGTATAAATGTTTATGTGTTAAAAACATTGTAGATCGAATAAAAGTGTTGCTTTCTTTCTATCTGTAGATCTACGAATAGTATGAGAAAATACCAATTAGTATGTGCAGTTTTTCATGAGTATATATTTAAAGGAATTATATTTTATTGATCATCCCCCATGTTCAGGGATAATGACGCCGAGATGATTAAAATAATCGCCACTGATGTATCGAACAAGTTGAACATTTCCTCGCCATCAAGTGATTTCGAAGGCTTAGTTGGGATGGAATCTCATATGAAAAAGATGGAACCATTGTTACAGCTAGATTCGGAGGAGGTGAGGGTAATAGGGCTTTGGGGTCCGCCTGGGATTGGTAAGACCACCATTGCTAGATCTCTATTTAACAGACACTCTAGAGATTTCCAACAGAGTCTCTTTATGGACAATATCAAGAGAAAGCATGCAAAAACAGCTCGTTCCGATGACTACAGTGTCAAGTTGTATCTACAGAAGCAGTTTATGTCTCAATTAGTCAAGGAGGAGGCTCTCGTGATTTCACATCTGGGTACTGTCCAAGACAGGTTGAAAGACAAGAAAGTTCTCGTCGTCCTTGATGATGTGGACCAGTTAGTACAGATAGAAGCCATGGCTAAAGAAACAACTTGGTTTGGTGATGGGAGTCGGATTATCATCACAACACAAGATCAAAAACTTTTAAAAGCAAGAGGGGTCAACCATATATACAAGGTGGATTTACCAACTACTGATGAGGCTCTTGAAATGTTCTGCATGTATGCTTTTCGTCAGAAGGAGCCCGAGGCTGGTTTCATGGAGCTTGCTCGTGAAGTTACAGCAGTTGCAGGTGCACTTCCATTAGGGCTTAGGATTATGGGCTCCTATTTTCGAGGGCTGTCCAAGTCCAAGCAAGAGTGGGAAAAGGCACTACGAAGGTTAATGATTCGCCTTGACGGAGATATTGAGAGCATTTTAATGTTCAGTTTTGATGCGTTACATGATGAAGATAAAAACTTATTTCTTCACATAGCCTGCTTTTTCAACCGTAAATCAGTCGAAACAGTGGAAGGCTGTCTTGCAGATAGTTTACCGGACGTGACACTAGGGCTTCGCGTCCTCGCTGAAAAATCCCTCATAGAGATAGATTCGGGAAGGATAAAGATGCATGAATTGCTAATCCAACTGGGAAGAGAAATTGTGAGGAAACAATCTGTTAGTGAGCCTGGGAAACGCCAGTTTTTGGATGATGATGCAAATGATATTGAAAAAGTACTTAGTGATGATAAAGCCGTAAGTTTGGAAATTTGCTACAATTAATTTTGAGATTATTTTGATAACTAACCATATCTCTCATTTGTGTTACATTAGGATACTAGCAGTGTTGTAGGAATAAGTCTCAGGTTCAGTAAGGACAGCAACAGCGAGGAGGACATAATATGTACAAGTGAAAGAGCCTTTGAAAGATTTTCTAACCTCCGTTTCTTACAAATATCTGGCGAAGACTATGAACATGCCATCAATCCTCGGAGTCTGAACAATATATCTAGAAAACTTAGATTTCTAAGTTGGACGGGGTTCGGAATGCCATGTTTGCCTTCTAGTTTTCATCCAAAGTTACTTGTCAAACTAGACATGCCGTTTAGCGAGCTTGAGAAATTGTGGGACGAGGTTCGAGTAAGTAATATTTTATTTTATTTTATTTTCCTTTTACAAAAAAAATTAATTATTTTAGATAAAACTTATCTAGAATCTAAAATTTTTGGTTTTTGGTACCATATTTTAGTTTGAAATTTTGAGTTTTGTGACTATAGTGGTAATAGATAAAATCATTTTAGCAGTGGGAAACTAAACAAAATCTGATTTTGTGAGTAACCTTTGCAAATGTACATCATTTTCTTAGTGTTTAATACTAGCGTCTTCCTTTTATGTGTTACAGCCGCTCAGAAATCTCAAGTGGATGAATTTGAGTCATTCTTATAGCTTGAAAGAGCTCCCCGATCTCTCCACTGCCACTAGTCTATGTGAGTTGGATCTCCGTCATTGCTCAAGTTTGGTGAAGTTCTCTTGCTCTATTGGAAATGCAGTTAATGGCAAAAAACTGGATCTTAGTGGTTGCTCAAGTCTAATGAAGCTCTCTTGCTGTATTGGAAATGCAGTTAATCTCGAAGAACTGGAACTCAGCTATTGCAAAAGTCTGGTGGAGCTCCCTTCTTCTATTGGAAATGCAGTTAATCTCCAATATCTGACTCTCAATGGTTGCTCAAGTCTGGTGGAGCTCCCTTACTCTATGAGAAACCTTTGTAGGTTGTCGAAATTGGAATTAAAGGAATGCTCAAACCTGGTAGTAAATCTGACCAACATCAACTTGGAATCTCTGGAAGAACTCGATCTCTCAGATTGCTCCATGTTAAAAATTTATCCTGAGAGTTCCACAAGCGTCCAAGACTACCACAAGCTAAGTGGAGATGCAATCAAAGAAGCGCCTTCACTTGGTCCAAGGATCGGGAGAATGTCTCGTCTGCGTCGACTTATACTAAGAGGAATGAAGAAGCTGGTATCACTCCCTCAGCTTCCGTATTCATTAGTACAGCTCTATGCAGAAAACTGCGAGTCCCTGGAGAGACTAGATTGCTCCTTTCCCAATCTGGATATTCGTCGTCTCGACTTCGCTAACTGCTGCAAACTGAATCAAGAAGCGAGAGATCTCATCATCCAGACACTGACTAATGGATTTGCAGTCTTACCAGGCGGAGAAGTGCCTGAGTGCTTCCCTTACCGATCTTCTGGGAGTTCTGTAACAGTGAAGTTGAATCAAATGCCTCTTGGCACATCAACCACATTTAAGGCTTGCGTCGTATTTGAAGATAACTTAAACCAAGCGGGAGGAGGAGGATTTATTTATTACAGCAACACGCCGACACAGAATGCTCTCGGTGAATTTGGTAAATATACAGAAGGTCCAGTTTTGGAGAAGCATCTGTACATATTCGAGGTTGAAGCAGTGGAGGTGACTTCCACCGAGCTTGTTTTTGAGTTCAGGTTCTGGTCACATATGGGCGGAAGAAGAGAGATAAAGGAATGCGGGGTGTTCCTTACTCTTGGAGGTTCTTCAGCTTGATGAACCTTGAAATCTGAGACAAACATTGAAACACAGAGATGCATTGTAACACTCCCGACCGTCCCTACCGGTCGGGCCCATGCGCCCACCTCTGTCCCACGGCCGATGCATTATTTTTCCCGGACTCCAACCAACTTATTTACTGACCCGCAATCACCACATGATTTTTTCTTATGTTTTGGCCTCACTTACACGTTTTTGAGAATCACTTCTCGAAAGGTCACCCATCCTAGTCCTTCTCCAGCATAAACACCCTTAACTGTGGAGTTCTCTTGGGACCAATGACCAAAAAGATAAATGCACTTTGATGACATAAGTAGCTAAATCAATCAATTTAAACTTATTAAATGGGCCGGCATCCTCAGAATGACACCAGTGCAAAATCACATGACCTTGTTCCTCAAGATGATGATGTTTCTGAATTTTGCTTCTACTGTACTTCCTGCAATTTTTTGTATTCTAAGTATCTATCTAGGGTACTTGTTTGGGTATTGTAATAAACAGCAAAATTCTCAACCAACAAGAATCAACAAAGAGCATCAAAGCATCAATTCCCTCATATATCACAGGCTGTAAAAGAAAATAACTATTCCGGAACTATACACACACAAAGCCTCAAGATGTTGCCGCTTCATTTGATTATGAAGCAATTCATTTGGCAAATATAGAGACTTCCGTATTTTATTCTGAGGAATGTTGGTGAGTACAAGTTATTTGTAGATCGTGATGTTGTAAAAAGCGTGAGATCCGTAACTAAGAAAGTGGCGAAGCTGATACTATTGTTATATTTTTATCGTATACACAGACCCAAGCTCGACAAAACTCTAGTATTTGTAAATTCTCAGTGCAGCTCGCCTACAGGAGCTTCGTTGAGCCAGAGGAAGTGGATGAAGTCATACAACTTGGCGCTGACACTAACCTGCAAGTTGTGATTAAGTACACAAATTAGTTTTTTTTCTCTCTCATAGAGCTCTTGCTTGATACAAAACAGGCTTTCTCAGGGTGTTTAGTTGGAATATCATACCTTATACGGAGTAGGGTTTAATCTTCTCATATGATCAGGTCGCATGTTTTCCAGCTGTTTGATGCAACGGTTTCTTATCTCTTTCAATGGCTCTAGCTCTTCCCTAGCTTCATCTTCATGGGCAGAAAGAGGAAAAGCAAAACACAATCAGTCATAAGCACATTAACATTCATCCTCTTTAAGTATTAAGAACTCTGTTTAAACCTGCATTTCCACGCCAATAACATTTCAGAAGCTCTTCCACGCGTTGTGGCACCACATAAGCCCTTTTCGACTCATTGAAAGGATGACGACAAAGTAACCTTTCACCAACCTTAGCATCCAGAAAAATTGAATGACTAAGAAAAGCTTGAAAATCTTTAGAGAAAGCTAATGCCTTTCTTTTTACCTTTGGAGGTGGTTCGTTCTCCCCAGTCATAATATCAACCAGAGGGTAACCTTCTTTTCCGAATAATCTGTACGTACGTTTCTTACACGGTATCGATACCTGAAGATTTCATGAAAAGAAGCGTGTATGAGGATGTTTATATGATCAAGAAGAAGTCAAAGTTTGAAGCAACACACTCTCCATGGGGAAAAAAAGAATACAGAGTCCAAACCTTAGTAACATCTTCAGAAAGTTTGATCCGAGGCTGATTATTTATCTCCACGAGTTTGAAAACACAGCCTAACGCCGCTTGCGCGTAGCAAGTCACTAAGTTGGTTCCAATTCCAAAGGCATCCACTTCATGACCCTTTTGTTCAAAGAAAAGAGTTACATTCCATCAAGGTGTGGCCTAATGGGAGAAATTTTCATAATGTTAAAAGCTGAGATTATTTACCTGTTTATTCAAAGCATCTACTGTCTCTTCATTTAGATCGTTACTAGCGGTAATGATCATCTTCCCGAAGTCAGGCACGTTAAGCTCTCTCTCTATGGCGCAAAAGAATTTCCTAGCTTCAGTGGAAAGATAGGCTAAGTCACCTGAATCTAGTCTAATACCAACTGCTTTGTATCTGCATATCAAACACAAAGTCATGAATCTTAAAAAATTTCATTGTGGCGAATGAAAGACAGAGCATCAACAGAAGATTTCTTACACACCCGAGTTCATTAAGCGCTAGAGCAACAGCACAGAAGTTTGGAATCCCACTCTTCATCACATCGTAAGTGTCTACAAGAGCAAGAAAGGCGCTAGGGAATGCGAGTGCGTAGGATGTGAACGCTGCGAGCTCGCTTTTGTTCGTCTCGGAGAAGATCCCGCATAATGAAGATGAGTTCTGTCATCCACCACAAGAAAAGATTATAGAGAAATGAATCAAAAACCAAACCCAAAACCTAGATTTCACTTAAGCAGAACCTGAATCTTGGATAGGCATGTTTGGACCAAAGTGACAAAATCTTCACAATTGCTTTTCCCATCAGAGCTTCGAAGCGCTTTGTCAACAATCTCATCAAGACTCTGGCAAAAAAAACCCATTCCAATGGAGTTAAATGAATCTTGAAACTGTTCCTAGTGATGCATAAGATCGCAAAGAACTTGCAAATTTACCATGAACGAGCTAACAAAAGCATGTGAATGTGTACCACGGAGCGGTATTCCAAACAATTTCCCCGCCGCAACATTGCTGCCGTAATTATAACAACAAAGCAAGAGACCAACAAAAATCATATTCTCTTCCATTTCAATGTTCCCATAAACAAAACAAAAACACTAGTAAGACTGAGACATGCCTTGTTGCATCAAAACCTCCAAGGTAGCAATACTTTGATGCGCTTATTGCGCCATCGGGTCCCTATATAACAACAATATAAACCCAGATGAAACAAACAAAACTCCAATATCTATTCATGGCTTACCAACAAAAAAAAAACAGATTTTTCAGGGGGAAACCTGAGCTCTTCGAGCACCAAACTCAAGCAGAAGCTTAGATTTTCCGGCGACAAACCGATGCCTTGCTGCGTTTGTAGCAACCAGAGATGCGTAATTGATGAGATTGAGAAACGGAGTTTCCAACAATTGCACAACCTAAGCAAGCACAAGAAAATAAATCAGAGACTTGATGAAACTATGCGAGGCAAAAATGAGAGTAGGAGAGGGATGAATAAACTCACAGCAACAGGACCTTCGATTCTGAGTAAAGGAACTTTGGGGAAAACAACTGATCCTTCCGAAATAGCATACACTTCAATGTCAGAACAATCAAGCCCTCGAAGATAATCACAGAAAGCTTCCTGATTTGTATTTCCAGAACAATTGTAAGAAAAATAAATAAAAAAACGTTCCTTTTTAAGAGATTGGCAAGAGACAGAGATTATTGTTTTTACCTCACATCCAGGCAACGAGTCACGAACGAAATCGATCTCTTCGTCAGTCAGATTGAAATTAGCGAGGAACTTGATGCATTCTTCTAACCCAGCAAAGATAGTGTACTCTCCACCAAATGGGTTCTTACGAAAATACAAATCAAACCTGATAATTTTGAAAACGAAGAAAAAGTTTAAACTTTTCAGATTCTCGTGAATCAAAAAAGCATCGAGATTTTCCGATTAGAGAGAGAGAGAACAAACACAGATCGTTCGGATTGTTTGTCGGCTTTCCAGTAAGCGTAAGCCATGGTGAATTGGTAAAGGTCGTTGAGCAGAGGCGTGACCATCGGGTTTGTGGGTCCGTCGATGACCCGACCCGTTTTCTTCCCATCAGTACCGTTCTCTTTCGTCGCCATAAATCCCTGCTCTTTTCTTTTTTTTCTCCGGCGAACTTTGTGTGTGTGTGTGTTGAGGAGAAGAGTGGACACACTGATTCTATAGCAAAAAGACGGGCGTGAGAGAATAACGACAACTTTTCAACTCCAGTCGACTTCAACCAAATTTCCTCCTAGATTTCGTTGAAACAGAATCCAAAGTACTTTACGTTTTTTTAATACATAACTAAAAATTCGTTTAGAACAAAAAAGAAGCGAGAAATTCGAGGTTGTTGTTCAAACATTATCATCACTTTCATGTTTCTTAGCACAATAATTAGAGAAATAACGCTCACTACAACTTGGAAGCTTCCAAGTTCCAGCATCATTGGTGAAGAATATAGTTTTCTAGTTATTTTATTTTGTAAATTCTTGCTAAAAGCAAAATGTTCAGTGAGTTACATTAGTGTTGCCGACGTAAATCAGACTTAAGAAATCAAGTTCAAGTAGAATTTGATGCTAAGAAAACTTCAGTAGAAGCTTATCTTTAATTTACAAACTCGCCCCCTCGAGTCTCAATACAATGCGAATACCATCTAGAAAATTAAAAATTTACATCCCACCACCATAAACATATACAAATTCAGTTTTTTTTTATATAGCTCTATATAGATCCACGGACTAGTCTCTAGAGTCCGCGTTAACAACAATTTATAACGAAATAGGAATAAAGATCGTTAAATGCATCTTCATTGACAGGCAGCTTTTGTTGCTTGCTTCCTAAGAAACAAGAACGCATATAACCCAAAGTCTAGAGAAATAAGTCGATCTTTTATGTCAGGTTGTTCTTGACCATTAAACGCAGCTTGTGCCCCTGCAAATACCCAAACGTCGCAACATTTTTAACATTGTCAATGTCTTAAAAACTTCTTCACGAGGATTCAGAAATCAGGAAGACTTTACCGGTTAAGTTTGTGTTGGGATGGCCAATGCTCAACCTGTGATGAGTTAATCCGCCTTCTCGACAATAAATTTGTAGTAAGAACACTAGCTTTCAAGAATTTAGGGTTTATAGATTGAAAATGTGTTGTGAAACCACGCACCGCTGAAGTAAGGAGAGGGGAAGGTCCAGAGTGACTGCGGAGGGAAGGCTCCAACGCGTATGAGGAAGGCATGGCGTTGATCATCTCAGGTGCGTTAGAGGTCGAACCGAATTGGTTGGTGTGATTAAGCAGATGATCATTGGTTGCTTCTTGAGGAATCCCTCGAACCTGAGAGAGTTGCAATGGATGTAATGTACTTCCAGGTAAGCGCAGAGGATGCAAGTTTATTCCATTCCTCATTGTCAACATCTGCAAAATACAGAGTGATTTGTTCATAGATTAATTCGGGAAACAAATGGTTAAATTTTTTTGCATAATACATTTCCACGAAATGACCAAATATTAAAGGGGTATATTGGATTGATGATTTGGGATAATTTAGAAATTACCTAAATTTGAGTAAATTTAAGGGGATTTGAGATTTGAGAGAATTTTGCAAAGTTGTTGTTATAAATTTAAAATGTGATTAGAAAGTATTTGGGAACATTTAAAAAATAATTTTTGTTTTCATTTTGTTCTATTTTTTAATTTTGATAATAGACTCCTCTTTATATATATAACATGAATGGTTTTGATGAAATATTTAATTCAGTCAAAAAAAAAATTCAAACCTCTTCACAAATCACATAACTCAAAAAAAAATCCATCAAAAATTAAATAATAAAATCTGAAAATGTTCTTGATTCTCAAGTTAGAACAATTTGTATATATTCACTTCCCAGTCTTGTAGTTGGCTTCTTAATCAGACGTTTGAACTTGTGAAAATAAATATCGTGCTAGAAAGCAAATCCTCACATTGATAGTTGCGATTAACAAAATGATATTCATGTCTGATTGAAAACTCCTCATTCTTTTTCTAATTTTCTTTAACTATAGTTCTTCTCTTTCCTCTTCTCTTTTCTGAATAGCTTGATCTATAATTGGAGAATCTGAGAAATACAAAATGAAGGAGAAACAAGATTAAGTTGAACTGAAGAAAGTTCTAGTACGAACCTTAAGCATATATAACACTACAGTTTCTGATATATAAACCATAACCATAATAGAATGAGTGTGAATACAAGAAAGTTTTTACTAGTGTTCAAAAGAGCCCCAACCTACTGGATGTAAATGTAATATACTTTCTTAGTACAAAAACATAATTCTAGAACCAGTACCGAAAAAATATTCAAACCAATGATCCCAAAGCTGACGTTCTTCATTGCAAAGCATGTCGCCCTGTAGCTATTATTTTAGTGTTCTTAAGTACCTGCTAAAACTAAGGCTTGCAAGAGTTTTTTCAATTTAAAAATAGTATAAAGAAACCTCCTACCAATCCTTCTCCAAGACGTTTAGATAAAATCTTCCTACACGAAGACGTTGATCATACCTTTAAAGTAGTCACAGCCTTCTTTCCCTACTCAAATGACACATGTGTAGCACATTAGTGACTCATCTCACATAAACCGTTTCACTGAAATCGTCGTTAGAGCAAAATAAAAATAAAAATGAATCACGAAGAAAAGATTGTTTAAGCAAAACACAATAGCTTGGTAACAAGCTATTGTATGCAATTTACTATTTAGAAGTAACTACACGAAGAAATACCAAAACAGGATAGCTTAATAAAGTTCTAGTAAAATCATGCAACTTTGTAACATTTTATTAAATGACTAAAGAGTTGGCAATCGAAATTTACAAAACAGAGAGCCAGTGCTTCTGTGAAACCATGATTTTTCCAACTGTTATACAAACAATGTCAACAAGACTGAGAAACCTGATGCGCTTTAACACGCTTCATTAAGCAAGTATGTCAAACACTAGTGCATAATATCTCAGAAACAGCTTTAGCATTCCGAAAATTGAAATTCTAGGGAAGAACAAAAACTATAGTGTAAAGTTCATATATTAAAGAAAAGAGCGATTATTTAAAAAGAATGGTCAATTATGCAGAATCCAAGTATTAATGGTGCATACCTTGATAAGAATTTGAAGATGTATGTGACATCAGGAAGCAGCTCAAGAGGGACTGTAGAATGCGTGTAGTTGAGGATGCTTGTAACTGACGTGGAACTCAGCGGTTGGTGACTACGAAGGAAGTCTCGAATATATCCTAAATATATTCGAGAGTCTAAAAAAAGGAAAAACTTGTGAAGAAAGGATATGCAACTAGATTCTAGGGTTTCACTCTTGGGTAGGTTATATAAATAGGAAGTCGGGTAAAGTGTGGTCTATACACTTTGCACCGCAAGCATTAGAATCATCCTTGAGCTTCGATGGCAAAAAGAAGCAAGAAGGTTAGTGTCCTCTTCCCTGATACACGAGCTGTGTGATCGTGGGAAGAGTGGTTCTAGGACTAAGAATCATTGGGGGCAATCTAGGGTAGAGTTGTATAATTCCAAACAATTATAATCAGTTGATTAAGTTGTTGATTCTAGTTTAATAAAACCAGCGTTGGACTTGGCGCTTTCCAAGTATTTGTCTGTTGCCTGTTTTCTACACTTACAATTGGTATCAGAGCAGGCATCTGCTAAGGATTGTCTGTTCTTATTAATCAGGTGTGATTTGTGGGACAAAGTATGGAAAACATGCAGCATCTCGGCTCCGTCAAGTCACTTGTGCTCGACGCTCAGAACTACGGTTGCTGGAAAGTTCAGATCAAGGCCCTTATCAAAGGATACGATGAGGACGCATGGACAATGGTTGAAGAAGGATGGACATAGCCGACAATTGTTGGAGCTGATGGGGTGCCTAAACCAAAACCTAGGTTGACCTGGACCGTTGAAGAAAATTCTTGGTCCAAGTTCAACTCCAAAGCTCTCTCAATAATCTGTACGTCTCTTACCAAGGATCAGTTCAAGAAAGTTCAGATATGTACCACTGCGAAGGCTGCATGGGACGCACTTCAGGTTGTGTATGAAGGAACGTCAAGCGTTCGCAGGACACGGATGGACATGCTGGCCTCACAGTTTGAGACTTTGACCATGGGATCAAGAGAGTCAATTGAGGAGTTCAGTGGAAAGCTCAGTGCGATTGCACACGAATCTCAAGTTCTGGGAAAAACTTACAAAGACAAGAAATTGGTGAAAAAGTTTCTCCGGAGTCTACCAGACAAGTTTCAGGGTCATATATCAGCACTTGAAGTTTCAAAGAACTCAGATGAAATGAAATTCAATGAGATCGTGGGGATGATGCAAGCCTATGAAATGAGACAGTCACAGAGGAATCAGGCTAAAGGAAAAAATATGGCCTTTGCTGCGGAACAAGGGTCGTCGCAAGCTACTGATCTTGATGATCAAGTAGGTCTGATTGTGAAAAGGTACTTCAAGAAGTTTGACAAATCTCAACGTAAGACAGGTCCTGAGATCAGAAGGTCAACCAATGAGTCTAGAAGTGAGTCGGGGTCAAGGAAATCAGAAATGCTGTGTCATGAATGCGAAGGATACGGTCACTTCAAGACTGAATGCCCAACTGCAAAGAAAAAGACTACCCTCAAGTGTCAAAAGTGCAGCGGGTATGGACATGTCAAGACAGAGCGTGTCTCTCAAGACAGAAGAAGGGACAGATCCTTGATCAGCAAGGAAGAGTCACAATCAGATGAAAGCGAGGATGATGATGAATCGATTCTCAACTATGTCGCATTTCTTGGAGTCATTGATGAGAATGCTGACACTGGGGGAGAATATGAAAATAACGAGGACTTCTCAGACACTGAGATATTGGCTGAAGAAAACAAAACCTTGTGTTTCGCTATGATTACTGCAAAAGAAGAAAAGGAGGGTCTACTCCATCAGATTAAAGAAAGAGATGCAAAAATCACAGCTTTGGATAAAGCCATCAACAGTCACAAGTTGGTGAATGACGAAAAGGATGACAGGATCTTTGCACTACAGTGTGAAGTTGAAGTGGTTGAAAATCAGTTATCAGAACAAGTCAAGTATGTGGACCTCCTGAAAAGGCTTCTTGTTGAAGAAAAGGAAAAGATTCGTGACTTGAATGGGCGGTTGACTGAACAACTGAGAAACATCAAGATGTTGTCCAAGGGAACAAAAGACCTTGACAAACTACTAAGTGTGGGACAGTCAAACAAGAGCAATTTTGGTCTTGGATATGTGGGTCAGTCATCCGGTCAAGAGAGGAAGTTTGTCCGTGGATCCGATGCTTCTCAACATCAACGACAGGTGACTCATTAGAGTAGTACTCAGGCAGGCAATCATCAGAATGACAAAACACTGAACAGAGGAGGAAGACTGATTAGAGAGGTTGATAGACAAGGTGACAGAAGAACGAAAGTCAGTGAAGTCTATCGATATGGTAGATTGTCTGGTTGCTACTACTGTGGAAAACCAGGACACATTAAGATTCATTGCTACCGCCTTCAAGAAGACATTCAACACCTCATAAACCAGAATCAGTTTTTCTGGAATGGGAAACGTCGAAACCAAGGATGGATTAGGAAACCTACAGCTAATAAGGCTCTCACAGCGGTTACTACTGGAAAAGGACCTGAAGACTCCTCCTGGTACTTTGACAGTGGCTACTCACGACACATGACAGGCTCGCAAGATGGACTGGTTAAGTTTGAGAATGTCTTAGCTGGAAAAGTTACCTTCGGTGGTGGTGCTAGAGGAAAAATCAGATGCGTTGGAGAAACAAGTGGTCCACACAAACCTCAGCTTGGAGAAGTGTACTTTGTTGATGGATTGAAAGCTAACCTGATCAGTGTCGGTCAACTGTGTGATGAAAGCCTCTCTGTGCGGTTCACCAAAGACTCCTGTCAAGCTGTGTCTGGGTGTGGTCAAGTCGTTATGACTGGAGCTCGGACAAACAACAACTGTTACAAGTGGATCACACCAATAAATCGTTGTTTCAGCGCCACCGTCAACAAATCCAACGAAATGCAACTGTGGCATCAGAAGTTGGGACATATGAATATTCGAACCATGGTTAGACTTGCTGATAAAGAGCTTATTCGCGGGATGCCTAAGCTAAAAGGGGCTGCCGAATTCGTATGTGGACCCTGCACTCAAGGGAAACAAGTACGAGTTCAGCACAAGTCTTTTCCTGATATTCAGACTCATCAACCCCTTGATCTACTGCACATGGATTTAATAGTACCCATGCAGACTGAGAGCATCGGAGGTAAACGATATGCCTTCGTAATAGTAGATGACTTCACCAGATACTCTTGGGTTCGATTCATACGTAACAAGTCTGACATGTTTGAAAGCTTCCAGATTCTGGCTTTGCAACTCAAGACAGAAAGAAAGACTGGTATAAAGACTATCAGAAGCGAT